GGGTCTCAGCAGGCTTGGCATTGCCTATGGGTTTCGGGGTCTCAGCAGGCTTGGCGTTGCCCATGGGTTTTGGGGTCTCAGCAGGCTTGGCATTGCCTATGGGTTTCAGCATCTCAGCAAGCTTTGTGTTGCCCACAGGTTTCGTGGGCTCCGCAGGCTTGGCATTGCCCACAGGTCTTAGGGTCTCAGCAGGCTTGGCATTGCCCAAGGGTTTCAGGGACCCTAAAGGCTGGGCATTGCTCACGGCCTTGGGACTTTCTGCTGCCTTGGCATTCAAGGCCTCAGCATTGTTGCTACCATTCTCTGCTGGTAATTTTTTCTTGCTGCCTAACACGGAGCGGAAGTCTGGGGTGGCAGGTTTGGGAAGTGGTGCCTTCTCAGGCACCGGGGTCTTAGGGGTCCCCTTTTTGGCCAGGACCGAGCGGAAGTCGACTTGCTGAGGGCTGTGCACCTTCCTCTCTTCCTCTGACACAGTCTTAGGCTTCACCTGCCGCTGCAGGTTGGCGCGGAAATCCATCTGCTCAGCTGGGATCTCCTTGAGGTCTTCTTCTGACACGGCCTTGGTACTCACCTTCTTCCCCAGGAGGTCACGGAAGTCTAGCTGTTCTACCTCCTGCTGGCGGATGGCCTCCTCAGTGTGCTGCCTGGTCTCCACGCGCCTCTTCAGCAAGCCCCGCACGTCCTCGCCGTCTTCCTCCTCTGGCCAACCCTGCCCTCTCGCTGGCCAGCCAGGCCTCAGGGTCCCATAGCAGTCACCACCAGCACCATGAGCACCGGCTCCCTGGCTGCAGAGGCCCTCACAGCTGACAGGCTCCCTCCCCCTGCAACCAGTGAAGGGAAAAAGGAAAGTAGCAAGAGGAAAAGGGGCCGGGTAAGAGAGAAACGTCAGGGGAGAGCAAATCCCTGAGGGAGGGAGGGTAGAGGGGAGGGGGGACGGGGAGGTTGGGGCTGACCAGGCTGTGTTTATAGAAGGGAACGTTGGTGAGAGGCTCTTGCTTGCTTACTCGGTTTGTTACATCGGTAATGACTTCAGTGGCCTTATAAGGGTGTGTGCAAAAAAAAAAA